GAAACGCTTGCACTTCTTCTGTCAATGCCTTGCTGTCTATCAGTTATAATACACGTGTGTTCTGTAAATAAAATAACAAGTGACTGAGCGCCATCGAAATGTCATATATGAAAAAGTAAGCATATATTCATAGCAAGTGTTTTTTTTTTATTTTTAAAACGTGACCGTGATAAAAAATTAGCTAATACATTAGTGACGCTATTGGTAATAAGTAACAATAAAAAAACAATCGTGCATGTTAGATAATTTAAGTGTTTTTTTTTTTATTATCTGCTATCAAAATATATCATGTATGGGAGGGTGTAAAACAAAAAACGGTTTACTTAAAAATGTTTATGTATATGTATGTAAGTTAACTAATTGCTAGCTTAGATTAATCTGTTCAGCGCTGAGCCGCACATAGACCGGTAGGTAGGTGCTTAGTATTACCAGTTGGAGCTCGTTTCTACGCGTTAAAGAATATATCACAAATAATATCAACGCTTTTTGCGAATTTCAGTAAAAATTTCAGTTCAACTTTTTGAATGTCCTCTAATTTCTCGAAATGGTGGGTTTCCAATCTCTTTCTTGAGAGTGCAGGACATCGACAGAGAAGATGCTTCAACATTTCCCCGGCCTCCCGCTCACGACACTTCCTGCACCTGTCCACGCTAATGTTACCAATTTTTTGTGCAGGAGCAGCAACGAGGATAGTCTCGGGAGTATCCACACTGGGACCTTCTATCTTCTTGTGACTACATCACTTACCCATTCAAAATGCCAAAAAAAACACGTCGTTGTGCTGGTAAAGCATGTAAAACTATAGGACGAGTACTCTGTGTAAAATGTGATGTGAGAAATATTTTTGCCGTGACTGTCTCAGTCCTGCCAAAAACCGTGGCAGTCCTAAGAGTACGTTCCCGTCGCCATTAAGTTCGCGGCGGAGGCATGGTTGAGATGTCGCCCGTTTTGCTCTGGTCGGCTCCGAATTCATGACCCAGTATGGGCACGTTTCGATCCTCGCCATATTCTCGTCTAGATTCATCTATAGGTCCATTTTAAAGGCGATTACACACCCGGGTTTTTGATAGTTGAACGCGAAACCCATTGAATGGAACTCTACCATAAGATCAAAGCTCTAATTTGGTTAACATCGCTACGATGGCTTGGGCATGTCGTACGAATGGACAGAAATGCTTCAGCTCTGGAAGTATTCAACGCTGTTTTCGATGCTTGTAACAGAGGAAAAGGAAGGCCTCCTCTGAGTTAAAAAGACCAGGTGGAGAGAGACTTGGCTTCGCTTGGCATTTCCAATTAGCGTCAGTTGATACAGAAGGGACATTTTTTTATGGGTATATTTATAGTACTTGCAAACATCAGACCCAATTTATAATACTATTCAAACATCAACATCAACGAAGAAGTTTTGATATCAAAAAATATTAATATTTAAAATAACCATTTTTACATTTTTGCTCCCCACTGTATATGCATTTTTTATTACAACGCTTTTATCAACTTACAATGTTGTATGCCCAGACACCTATTATATAGCTATAATACCTTTGCTTTGCAAAGATCCTACATATAAAAAGTCTAGACATCAACCTCGTCGATAGGTATTATATCAATTACCATATAATAGACACGAGAGGTAGATGTCGTCTTGCCGGAATTAGTTAAATATTGCGCCTAAAAATATGTGCTACAGCGAGAATGAACGGCACGCCATTTCTTTAAATGAACTTGAGTGGTGCTCGTGTATATACATATATGTACAAACGTATATGCATGTGCGTATGTTGAAAGAGAATGTAAATAAAGTCTGATAAGATACAATACTTATGTATCAGAATTTCGCTGAATTATTGATCTGTATACATACATCTTTGTTTTCGGTAGTGGTAAAATTTGCGAAGATGTAACACATAGCCTAGCAAAAAATTTCAAAAGGCTAGACAGAGAGGAACAATTGGGATTTGTCTCAGTGGGTGAATTTGGTGGAGTGACTTGGAAACCACTTGGGGTACGGGGGGCCAAGTTGTTAATCAGTTTAGGGCCAGTTGGTAACTAGTGTTTCGAGACCAGTTAGTATTTAGTCTGAGGCCAGTTGGGATTCAGTTTGAGACTAGTCCGAAACTATTTACTTTCGTACCATTTCGCGACCAGTTGATTGATTTGATCTGCAACGACCGTTTGGAAGCGCTTGAAAGCCTTTTAAGATGTTTTAACCTGGTTTTGGACGCTGGGGGTGCCGTGTTCATAGGTGCAGGCACCAATCTATTAATATCGTTGAATTATTTGAATTTCTACAGCAAAATTTTATACAGACAAGACCAAAAAGTAGAAAATAAATAAAAGTAAAAAAAACTCTTTAATATACCATGCTTTTATAAATGGACTAAAAAGTAGTAGTTTGTTTTGATAACTATTGGTTTCGAAATTTTAGAAAAGTCATCATACACAATTTATGAGATTGAAAATGAAAAGCGTGGGGCCATGTAATAGACTTGAATTGATATGAAAAGTAATATATTTATGTATGTATGTGGGTATCTGAATAACGATCACTTAAAATCGATCTTAAATTTTTACATAACTCATAAATTGTTTATAATGACTTTTGCTAAAATTTCAAAATCAAAAATTATCAAAACAAATCAAAAAAAAAAAATAAAATTCAAAATCAAAATATCAAACAAAAATAAAGCAAATCTCTGGAGCGCTAGTCGAGAGATGCAAGGTTCGAGTCCCAGAGCAGGAAATTTGTTTTTAAATATTTTTATTTTATTTTTTTTATTGTAATTTTTTAAATCGTATTTAAAAATATTGTATCTTATATTTAAATTGAAATAATTGACTTACCTTACTCTAACCACCTCCAACCGGCCTCGAAACTGCGATCTCAGCACCAGAAGCAGTAGACGTCGCGCGACGCCACAGTCGACATTTCCCAGAAAAGCAATTAGCTTTGTCTTAACAGCACTGACAAAATTCAAAATAATGTAAGGAAATTATTACTTATATTGAGGAAATTATTACTTATGTTGAGTAAATTTCTTCTTCTTATTTGGCACTGTAACCGCCTAAGCGGATTTGGCAGAGTTAAACAAAGCACGCCAGTCGTTTCTTTTCTGTGCCAACTGAAACTGGTGAGTTTCGATCGTTTTCTCGCGGGTCTTTTCCAAGATTTGACGTATTGTGAATACCTGGTCTATGGTGGACTTGCCAGGTCTGAAGCCACACTGATAAGGTCCAACCAGTTCGTTGACGGTGGGCTTCAGTATTTCGCACAATACACTCGATAATACCTTATAACCTATGCTTAGAAGGCTGATCCCGCAGTAGTTGGTGCGAATGGCGGGGTCGCCTTTCTTGTGGATTGGACAGAGCACACTTTAATTCCAGTCGTCGAGCATGCGTTCATCTGACCATGTTCTGCATAAAAGTTGATGCATATACCTTATGAACTCCTTGCCACCGAACTTGAATAGCTCAGCTGCTCAGCCGCGTTATTGCTATTCGTACCTCGTCATAGTCAGGCGGAGGAATATCGACTCCGCCATCATCGACTGGGCTATCGGGTTCTTCTTCTCCACAACTTTCCAAGCTACTACCATTCAGTAGGGTGGAGAAATGTTCCCTTCATAATTTAAGTATGTTCTGAACATCGGTAACTAGGTCGCCATTGTTGTTTTGGCAGGAGTGCGCCCTGGTCTTGAAACCTTCCGTAAGTCGCCTAACTCTTTGGTAAAAATTTTCGGGCATTCTTCCGGTCGCCCAGCATTTCAGGCTCTTCGCACTCACGTATTTCGGCCTCTCTCTTCTTATTGCGGCAGCGTGGCGCTGTGGTGCCATCTTTTTTCTCTGCAGCTTCCTGACACTGCTCATGGTACCAGTTGTTCTTTCGGGCTCGCTGCAATCTGACTATTTCTTCGGCGGCAGTACTAAATGAGCGGGAGATGTGGTTCCACTGCTCGCATATGTCGGTTTGGTGATGAGTGCTCTCTGAGAGCAGGTGTGAGAGTCGAGTAGCGAAAGCGCTGGCGGTCTGTTGTGATTGCAGCTTTTCGACGTTAAGCTTTCCTTGCAGCGCTCGTACGTGTGCTCCAAGCGCCCATAGAAGAGATTCTTGGATACCTCATCCTTCTCTTCCCTCGGAGCATGGGCGCAGATGAACGACAGTACTCGGCGACGGATTCTCTCTCCCACCACAAATCCAACACCGAATTTGCGCTGCTTTACATGGCAGCTGTAGTATACGTCGCAAGGCCCCAGACATTGCTTGCCTTGCCCCGTCCAACGCATTTCTTGATTGGCGGTGATGTCAGCTTTCGCTCTTACGAGGACATCAACCAGCCGGGCAGACGCTCCTTCCCCATTAAGGGTACGGACATTCCAGATGCATGCCCTCAATCGTTTGCCGTGGTCATCATCAAAAGGGGGGTTCTTATCCGAGGCTTTGTTTCTCTTTTTCATTGGAGCCTGTTTTTACGTGGCGGGTCCCAAACCCAGCGCACAACCCATTGTTGGGACGAGTAAATTTACTTCCTCAAATTAATGACGCCGTATTTTTTAGCATGAACTCGAATTAAGAGAAAACTTCACAAATTGAGTAAATTTTTTTTAATATTAAGGAAAAACAGTAACTCTAAAGTAAGGATACTCTTTTCTTGTTTTATAGAAATGCTTTTTTCTGAGTGTACAACGTGAACTAGTTGGGTTGAAAACTAAGCCTTCTATTTAGCAACGAGTAGCTTTCCCAGCAGGGAATGGACTAGCAACAGCCTCATTGATTGTCATGACAAATGTGATTCGACTACGATCCATCCCAACCTTGCAGAGACAAGGTCTTACCAATTTGTTTACAATATTTACCCAAATATTATTTGCGAGCGCTTTCTAACCAAATCAGTGAACGGCTAACACAGCTTCCTCTCAGTACAGTACAAAACACCTACACAAATACAGAATTATTCAAAAAAAAAGCAAAAGATACTACATATTTTTCAATGCTCGTTTATTTACATATATACAGCCTGCTATGCTTTACACGCATTTCATTGCAATTCTCAACCAAAAATGCATGCAAAATTGTTCGGGAAAGCAATGAAACGCGGTAAAGTGTCAGAATGATGAAAATTTATATAAAGCATTTTCAAAGCAAGAATAGTAAACAAATTTTATATCGGCAATAGAATAATTTGCATCCAATAAATTTTCAAATCCTATCTCTTCTCTTTCCTTCAACTTTCAAAGAAGGTTATTATATCTTGTTGCGGCTGTGGTTGTGCACTTACGACACCCCAGGAACGCTTGATGTGGTCGACACCCTTCTCTGCGATCATTATAGCTGGCGCATGCGTATTGCCCGAAGTTACAGCTGGCATAATGGATGTGTCCATAACACGAAGGCCCTGTACGCCATACACTCGCAATTCGTTGTCTACCACAGCCAAGGTATCGTTTGCTGGACCCATTTTACAAGAGCCCGCTTGATGATTCTCGGGTCCAGTATTGTATCGTACAGCACATGCCCAGTATTCATCCGTGGCGAAGTCGTATGATGCACATGCGGATATTGCGCTGGTAGCCAGCGTCAAATTGTATTTCTGTAGAGCAGGAGTTTCCGACAATTTTATGCCAAATTTGATGGCTTCAACCAGCGTGTTTACATCATGTTCCACGGATAAGTAGTTGGCGGTCATGAGTGGAGCGTCAAGAGGATCGTTGGAAGCGAGTGTAACCGAGCCACGTGATTTGGGATGCAACACTGCGGGATAAATGAACACCGAGCGATTGCCGCTGGATAGCAGCGCGCCAACTTCACCGGTAGTGGCACAACTAGCCGAGTAGCCAGCGAAGAAGTATTGTACATCGGGTCCCCTCGATGGATCCGCGTATTTCGTGCTTATTTTAGCGGTCATATCACCAATACCAGTGCCAGAAAGTAGACCATTGCGGAAGAGCAGATATTCTGTGGCGCTTGCCCAATTTAGAACGTTTGTGTTTGTTTCGTTAAGGGTGAAGGTCAAAAAGAACGAGACGTGATTGTGTAGATTTTTGCCAACACCGGGCAGATCGTGTACGACAGTTACATTGACTTCACTTAGTTCGTCAGCTGGTCCAATGCCGCTAAGCAAAAGTACTTTTGGTGAGTCCAAAGCGCCAGCGCTGACGACCACCTCTTTCTTCACAGACACTGTGATAGTATTGTTATTCCTATCGATCAATTCAACACCATTAACGATTGTACTGTTCGTTTGGAAGAGCACTCTGGAAGCAGTGGTGTTAAGTAGAATATGAAGATTCTCACGGTGGCGTGCGGGACGCAAGAATGCGCGTGCAGCACTAAAACGTATGCCATTATGTGATGCCATCTGTCCTTTCATGAAACCGGTGGCGTTGTAGCCATTCAAATCATGTACGCCATAACCTAAAATTAAAAGGTGCAACGGCAATTAAGCTTAGCGCAATATTATATTGCATGAAATGAAATGATAAATGTATAGCGATGTACCGTCGTGCGATGAGTGATATAATGTGATATCACATCATATGGTATTACATGATGTGATATCACATCATATGATATTAAAGTCACATCAAATCTCACATGTTTATACAAAATATATTTTTATCGAATGCCCTTTTTGAATTTCATAAGCTCTATTTAAAATCACGCTCGCAACTTACCCAATTGCTCACCACCCCTTAAGATTGCATAAGACAATGGTGGATTGTAGGGGAAATGTGAAACAGGAAGCGGTCCACCAATGGCATGCAAATCGCTATCAACCTCAGTAATTTGCAAATTATTTTCGGATTTCTTATAGTATGGCAATATTTCGTCGTACGACCAACCGGTATTACCCAAGGATGCCCAATAGTCATAGTCCTCACGATTGCCGCGATTGTACATCATACCATTCACCACCGATGTGCCACCCAATACTTTGCCACGCGGCCAAGAGCACTGTTGATTCGTATTTGCCAGGCATGCTACCTTCTCCGGTTGAGTTTTGTAGTTGTAGTCGATGGCACTGCCAAGATAATTTAAGGAAATTGATGGTACTTGGGAGCCAACTGGTTCATCATCACCTGAAATGAAAGCGAAGAAGCAAATGGATTTGTAAATTTACATACATCAGGGTTGCCGTTTTGGCGTAATTGCACCACAATTGTTAGCTTCATTTTCTTTTGGTAGTTTGGTTGGGTTGATGATGCTTTTGGTAGGTAAACATTTTTTGAAAATCCAACCAAATTGAGCATTAAAATTTGTTCGCTTACCTTGCGTTTACACTTTCTATAAATTGCTTTCAATTTGCTAACACTTATGAGTTGTCACCCTCTTACGGGTTTCTTTGTTTTTTTTTTCATATTTTATTAAGCACACAATTTGCTGCAAATAAAACCTCTCAAAGCTACGATCGGGCAGCTGATTTGATTTTTTTTTTTTTTTTCAAATAATGTGCTCTCGAAAATGTCCAATATTTTTAGTTTGTTCTTACAAAAAGTCTACATTGTTAAAATCTATTGCATGTGAAACCTTTTTTCATACAAAACAAATTATTGAACAGCAGCTTTTGGAACGTTGCTTTTGACCATGATGCAATAATACAAGGTTAGATAATTATTGACAGCCGCGCGCTTTGACACTCCCCTACAAAAGGTTGCATTTACGAAGGACAGAGAAAGGGAAAGAATGCAATCCCTTGTTGCGAAAATGGTAGTAGAAAAGTACGCAATTAGTAGTGAAATTCCTTTTGTAGATTCTAATGTATTTGCAGGAAATCTGGCAGTTCAAACAAAATATTTAACGAAATATTAATACATCTGCGTGAATTACGTAATTTATGTGCTATTTAGCTGTATAAAAAATGCAAAAGGACTCAAAATTAAATATAAACTACCATGAGATTTATGTAACCATCCAATTTGTATTATTGAATCATGGCTTTTGACAAGGGCTTGAACCCAGGCTAGCGTGCACTGCGAAAAGAGATTTATGAAGTTCATGTATGTACGTACGTATGTACTCGTAGCTATCGTAATGCTAATTTAGATTTTTATGCGATGTGGCAAAAATAAGCGAATATAACAACGAAAGTTTCTTAACCTGGCTTAATTTTGTTAGTGCGAATTTTCTATGGAAATCAAGTGTTAAAAATATAACCAATTATTTGAAACTTACCCGCTTCGACGAGCAAAACTTTCCAATCCAATACTTCGGAGAGACGCGCAGCAGCAGCCGAACCAGCAGTTCCGCCACCAATCACAACAAAATCATACTCACTATCGGGCTCCGATCGGAACTAAGATGTTAAGGAGAAAAAAAATTAATGAAATAATTTATATAAGTATGCAGATAGTTTTATTTTTCTATTGACTTACCCTGGGTGTGGCACGTCCACAGGGATCCTCGATATCGCATTGCGAGCGGAGGAAGACCTCAAGCAGGCCCATGAAGAGCACGTAGGCGCTGCCACCACAGGTGGTGGCCAATGTAGGCGTGAGTGGTGAAGTCACCGGACAACCACAATGGCTGTAGAGGTAAGACATGTTGTTGCTGTAAAGAAAAAAGACGAACAATCAATTACGATCAGTCAGAGCTGTAACGACCCTAGTCAGCGTTTTTTGGAAAAAATGGCGGAAAGTTGGCAGCGGAACTACTCAACTGTGCTTGTCTAGGACAAACAGTCAACGGTTACACAATATGTAGCTATGTGAGTCTTATGAACGCGCCCGTTGTGCCACGAATTAGGAGCATAATCAGATAATTCGGGTAGAAATATCACAAGATTAACAGCTGATTCATTTAAACTAATTTCCGGTATTTTAACTTACCAAATAATTCACAATAGAAGCTATCATATCAGTGCCTAAAACTATACAACTTAATTGAGCCGGCAAATTACGCTCTGCTATCACTAGCTGAAGTGAAAAGCTGTATAGAAGCTGTTCAGCGAAGATCACGCGATTTCTACATTTTGGCAGTCACAGAGTGTTTTTTTCACAAATTTGAGTTCAGCTCACCAAAAGAATTTCCTAACAATACCACTCTGTACCTGCCAAAATGTACAAATCGTGTGAACCCTGCTGAAGATGAATATGATCACAGGCAGCTGTGTGGGGAAACCAAATAATGTAATTCTTAACAGAAGTGCCTAAAACCTAACAGTTTTGCCATGTTAAATACAGTTGAAGCTAATTTCCGTTATTTCTCTTACTAGCGCCTGAAACTATACTTATTATTTAGTAGGGCCGGCAGCTTTAACAAAATACGCTCTGTTAGCCATAACTTTTACTGTGTTTTGACCACCTTTGTATCAAGAACCCTAGATGGTCTAGGGAATTAATTTATATTTTAAATTTGCGTTGTCATTGTGATTGGAACTATACTGAAAATTTCAGGTCTCTAGCTTGTCAGGAAGTTCGAAATTCTACTACAAAATCGTTGCCCGACGAATGCTGGGTTATCTTCTAAGATTTTTTTATAGAACTAAACCCTCTAATAACCAATCATTGCCTTTGTTATCTACACGGTTGTCCGTTTTTAAAGCAGCCGATCTACTTGGTGAACTCTTATACCCTAACTACATAGAACTGATTGTGCCAAAAGTGCCTCTGTGAATGAATTGTGCCAAAAATGGCACTATTGTGCCTACTTTTCCATCACTGCTTTAAAGGTCCGTACATTGAAATAAGCAAAATAAGCAGCATCGTTAAAATTTCGCTTGGCAACCCTGAATAAGCAAAAAAAAGCAAATCCAAGCAAAAACTTAAACTTTTCGGCCCTGTTGATTAGTTAAAAGTCCTCACCGATTGTAAATCCTTTTTAGAAGCCTAGTACCTCCGGAGCCAGAAATCTTTCGTTCTTCTTTCAAATCCGCTACTCTTTACATTACTCTATGTATATATAAACTGAATAATCAAAGCATATTTTTTCAATTAATTCTGATAACTTTTACTCTTTAAAAATATCTGTACATTTAAAATGTCGCCCTTTTATTTAAATTTTCAAAAATTTTGCTTAACTTTCAATTCTCTTTAATGCAAGAACACAACCTATAGTTCTTGCTTCAAAGGATACTATGCAACTCAAAGGAAATTTACTGCAATAATATAAACAAAATGCTTACCAATTAAATCCGTCTACTCCCGAACTTGAAAGTCGACTGACGATCGTTTCAAATTTCAGCAGCCCTTATATATTCGATTTTTTTTTATGTTATACTAAACTAAATAGTTTGTATGAATTGAATCTAAAACATCTGTTTGCTGATACACATACGAAGAAGATGTCTTAACGTGTGGCTATGAAAATATTATATAATTTTATTTGATTAAGTATCGAAAACTTTCCGTAGGTAAATGCAATTTCCTTTTTATACCCGAGGCCACTTGTGCACCAGGGTATTATAACTTTGTTCACACAACGGTTGTTTGTAAGAGTTAAAACGATTCGAGACCGTATGACCGTATATGTGTATCTCGGTAACCGTTCTATCAATTTGTACCAAACTCGGTATTATTATTGTGCTTGCCACATTAAGGCAAAAAGTTGAAAATTATTGAAATCTGACTAAAATTAAGCCAACTTTTCGATAACGCTAAATTTCAGATATGCTTGAAACTTCGATATTTCGAAATTTAAGGACGCTAATTTTACCCAAAATTGATACTAACAACCATTCCTTGAAAAGAAGTAACATTTTTATAGAATTTTGGAAAATGGGCGTGATGCCGCCCACATATATATCTATATAAGTTTATCGGTCATAACCGGTTGCGTCCGGATTGGTCCGTCCACACAGATACAATGCCACCTAAGCTATTGTACGATAATTAGCATTTTTTATGTAAATAATAAAAATAACAATCTTCTTTTTTATATCTTGTAGGGGAAGTTGCCACTGTTGCACCCCTTTACATGCATCAGCAATAATTCACAAGTATTTTACAGGGGCATAATGTTGTTGCATACTTATATTAAAAAGTAGCTGCGAGGGAAGTTGGCTTAAATCTGCTTAGACGTCTGCCTCCTTGTAACGGATCCTTAAGTGCCTTTGCTAGTGTGTTGGGCTGTTGACCAAGTCTAGATATAGATATCTCTGGTTGAAACGAAGAATTTCTTGTTGAACAGTTCGGACCTTTAAATCAGCGTGTAGGGCGTCGTTTGTTATGAACCAGGGTGCATTTGTAATTAGTCTTAACACTTTGGATTGAAATCGTTTTAAGATTGCGATGTTTTATTTCGAGGCGCGTCCCCAAAGTTGTATACCATAAGTCCATATATGTAGGTTTAAGAATGGTGAGATAGACCAACAATTTGTTTTGTAGTGACAATTGTGATTTCGGACCAAGCAACCAATATAGGTTGGTTAACTTTAGACCGAGTTGCTTTCGTTTCATGAAGATGTGGATTCTGTGCAAGTTAGACGTCTGTCAATGTGCAGCCCTAAATATCTCGCGCTTTGTTCTTGGGGAAGCTGTATGTTGTTGAGGCTCACGCCTGGACAATCGCTACGACAGAGGGTGTATGTTCACTTGGACTAACTTGGTGGGATTTACGCGGAGCCTCCATTTTTTCAGTCATGCCGATATTTCATTCAAACTCCTTTGCAATTGCGACGAAGCTTCTGCAGGGTTGAAGTGTGTTGCCATTATGACTGTGTCGTCAGCAAACGTTGCGATGGTGGTTTCGGCTAGGGTTCGCAGATCTGCTGTAAAAAGTGTGTAGAGAACTGGCCCGAGAACACTTCCCTGCGGAATACTTGAGCAAATTTCATGCATTCTTGAGTATTCATTGTTGACCTTTACACCAAAAATGCCGATCTGCAAGGTGCCGATCTGCAAAACATTTCATTGTGAAATTTAATCGCTAGCTTAGAGATGAAAAAGTTGCTAAGTTCATATTTTATGAAAACTTACATTTTACAAGGGGAAGCAAAAAAAACTTAAAACTACATCGTTTACAAATGAACCTAATCAATTATTTCGTTGCTGCCAACTTTTATGTAGTGAAAAAGTAATCTAAGCCTAGCGGAAGTAAAAAAAATCCTATAAATTCATTATAAAGCCAAAAATTTTCATATACGTGGAACTCTGCCGATGTCATGATTTGCTTAAAATACGCAAAAATTATGCGAATGAAGTTTTGCAAAATATTTGAGGAAGATGCGTTTAGATAGTTTTTCTTCTTTCGTGTAAAATTCCACGCTAGCGAAATATATTTAAGTAATCTTACCTTAAACAATTTTTTCGAAACAAATTGCTTAAAATTTTTTTGTTTAATCATTCGTTTTCTTTTCTAATTTAATTCTCTTTTATGGTTTTAGAAAGAATTATTTAAATTTATTAATTTTAATGCAATTTTTAGAAATTTGTTTTATATATTATTTTACTTTAGTTTGATTTTCTTTTTTAGTTAAATTTATATATTTTATTGTTTTTTATAAAAGAATATTTTTTTTAAATTCCATTGAATTTTTCCTTTTTTTTAAATTTGATTTGTTTTAATTTCATTGTTAATTCATTTTTCTTTAAGTTTTTAGATTTCATTGTTTTAAAAAGAAATATATCCATTTAATTTCATTTCATTCATTTATAAAACTTATTTGTTTTAATTTGCTTTTTGTAATTCAATTTTGTTTTTACTTTTAAATTTTATTATTTTAAAAAGAAAATTATTATTTTTTTTGATTTCATATAACTTATTAATTTTTTTTAACATTTCTTTCTTTTTTAATTTAATTTTAATTAGTTTTTAAATTTTTTTTTATTTTAAAAAGAAATACATATTTTTCATTTCATTAAATTTTTATGACCTTGGTTTTATTTTTTATTATTTTTAAACTTAATTGCCTTTATTTTACTTTTATTTAAATTTTCTTAAAACAGTAAGACTATATTATTTTAAAAAGAAAATATTTTTTTAATCTTGTTTATTTAAAAAAAAAAATTATTTAAAGTTTCATTTTTAACAAAATTTTCTTTTTTTAGATTTATTAATTAAAAAGCAAAAATATTTTTTTCATTTCATTTAACTTTCAGGAACTTATTTAATTTTTTTTTAATTATTATATCTTTCTTTTTTAATTCAATGATTTATTGTTTTAACAAACAAAATATATGTATATATCTTTTATTAACATTTACCTCCCTTTAATTTTCAGTTTTTGTAATTTTAAAAACGTATTGCGTAAAGGCATACAGAATAGAGGTATACGCCGACAGGCTTTGCGGCGGCGGCGTGCTCAACTTCAAAAAAAATCAGCGACGCCGGCGCTACTGCCCATAAGGTACGTCCCAAAGAGCTATGAGGCTACTAATCTTATCATGTCATCTCATCGGCGTTATGCATTCGCCATGCCAATTCAGATTATAATTCTGTTTAATTCGTTTTTGAATTAGTTTTAAGTTTAAATTGTGTTACTTCCTACTTGAATTAAAATGTTGAGTACCTGGCGTTGATGGATGGGCGAACAGAAGAAGATCTGAGATATATATGTATATACATACATGGTTCTCTATGTTCTCTACAAATCCGTATGTACTATAT